GATTAACATTTAATTTTGAAGATGATCATTCAGCTTCAAATTAATTGTAATTTGTAAATATTTATTTACTTTGGACATTGTAATTGTAATATTGTATATTTAGACTTTGTAATTTTACAAAATTTATAATTCGTCACAAAATGATTGCACTCTTTTTTCCTTACCAAGTTTTTATCCCAATTGGGTTTTTCTTGGTAAGGTTTTTAACGAGATAATCATGAATTATAAATTTAAAAATTAATAAACAAAATTAATTTTTTGAATTGTGTTAATAGTGTGTGTTGATTTTAATCTAAATTATTATTTTTATATAATTTTTACAATAAATAACTTAACAATTATTTATATACAAATACAATTAATAAACAATATTATATATAATATATGTATACAATATTATAAAAAATAAAACAAAATGTAAACAAATATATATTAAATATTCGGGCAGCCAAGACCTGTCCGAAATCCGTTCAAGATGAAGGTCGGGTTCAGGCAGGCATCTTGAATTTTTTGGACAGGTGGGCTCGGATAATGGGCACAAATTAAATTTTTTTGGACGGTCGCGGACAGCCCGTCTAAAGATTCAGCACTAATTATCGATCATTAATGCACTATCCACTTTAAGGCTATGTACAAATTTCAAAACGATCTATATGCATATTGTTATCTTCTTTTATATTTTCCCAATGTTGTCTTGTCTGTGGAGAGCAACTGGATGATAAACAGTAACCATATTGAAGGACCAGTGAATCAAAATCGACAAATAATTAGTCATTATCTTCTCCATTGCATCCGGGTTCTCTTTCTCTCTCTTCTGAGTTATCTCGATCTTTCCAAGACAATAGCGCAATCCCACCAAGGCGTCTTGTTCCATATTTGATTTGAGCGTTCATATCAGGTGGTTTAAATCAGAAATTAAATGTTGTGCGCAAAAACATTGTAACATAACTTTTTAAATTTGAATTTTTTATGAGAGAAAAAACTGTTTAAACCAAAATCAGAATGGTTTGCCCTCAAACCAAATATGCATCAATCATGTTATGTATTATCATCCTCTATGAATTCATGCTCCAAATTCAATAAATTATTATGAATATCCGAACCTTGCTCCATGTTCTTTGTTTTTAATTAACGTGTTCTTTCATAAATATAGATTGGAAAAGAAAAAAAAAATCATTTTGATCGAAGAGAGACCGGTGCTATTGGCTATGGATGATCTGCACAAGAAGCAAGCATGGATTTTAAAGCAAAAAGTTCTTTGTTTAATAAGATGTACAAAAGGAGGTGAGGAAGAAGCCGAAAGATCTTAATAGAGAAGCTAATTTGTCTGTGTGCTCGAGAGGCCACTGATCACATGATCACTCTTTGGTGGCCGATTTGCTTTCTTCATGGATGTCTCGCGATTTTTTTTTCAATTTGTTTCCATTTTCTTTATTAACAGGGATTAGGGATTAAAAAAAATGTATGAGCAAAGAAAAATTGGCAGAGTGTTATATATTTTTGTTATGTGGCATAAAAGTCTAGACGTTATTTTGATAAGAATATAAGTACGTACTATTTATTGGGAATAATGTTCTAAAAATATGAGATGTAATATAATATTTATTATTTATTTAATAATAGAGTTTATTCATTATTTTTTATGCATATATTAATGAATATTTTATGAATATCAGTGAAAATTCGATGATTATTTATGCGATATTAAATATTATATATAAGTATTATATGCAAGATGATAATATTTAAGGATAATAATCAAAACGATGTTCATAATGAATTTAATAATGAAACGGTGTTATCCGCACTGTTAATATGATGAGATATTGAATGAATGTATTATGCATAATGATATTATGTAGAACAGTCGCACAGACATAATATGAATTTTTTATAATTTCTGTTAAGTATAGAAATTTTAATTGAGTCTATCGATGGTTATATACAGAATGATTTTAATCATGTGTTATTAGTAAACTCATTTTTATGGATTTGTGTCTTTTGATTTACTTGGTTCGGATTCTGAGATCCTGAATCTTATTCCTTGTATTTTGGAGACATGATGGAGTAGGTAGCCACGAATGTTATTAAACGAGATGGAATCCATTTCTTCTTGAGAAAGAAGTAGATAAATAATTCTCTTTAGGGTTGATTCGGTACTTGGACCAGTAGGAGCTCCGATTCATGAATTTGTTTTATGAATCCCTGTCGATTAGAGAATCAATGGTACTCAAGGATAAAGATGTAATTAGAGAGGTTAATGGATTTCACCTAGCTCTAATTATGAATTATTTATGGAGGATTTATGTATATGTAATGACTATATCAAATTGACACTTTACAGTTTAGAAATAATTTATGTCTATAATTACGAAAGTGCAATTCTAAGTTTATAGTGGAGTAACTATTGGAATTAATATAATTAATTAATTAATTAATTAATTAAATAGTTTAATTAATTATTAATCTTATTAGAGCTCAAAATTATAGGTTCATGAATTCCCGCGTCGTCCTTGTAATTCTACAAGACAATAAGGACAAAATGAGAATTTTAGAATTATGAAATTTTAAAATAAAACACTCAATGATAATTAATTATAAATTAAACAATGTGATTATTTAAGTTTAAGTTTAAATTTGAATTTTGAAACACACACTGGAAGGTGTTCACATAGTGTGAACGCATAGAATAGTGTAAATCCCTTTATCGTAAAATTGCGTCTACCACAATGAGGAAATCCCTTAGTGGTGGCCTGCCATATTGGATGAGGGAGAATGGATTTTGTTTCAAAATAAAATTTGAAGTGGGAGATAATTACCAACTTTATCTTGAAGATAAAGATAAGACTCCTTCTGAGAGTCTAATTGTTACTCTATAAAATAAGAGATTGTATAAAATTGTGAGACTTCATTTTTACAATTTTTGCTCTCATTAGCTATAGTAGTTGGATATTATAGAGTGAGGAAGAGGGAAATTTTCTCCAAAAATTTCATGTCGTGCATGTGTTGGTGTTCGTGGAAATCTTTAGTGTTTTTGCTAATCCTGTTTTGTTTCAAGTGTACCCACACACACGTCTTCGTAGATTCAAGAAATTGACGAGGAAGATTCTGGTGTTCTAAACTAGCATTGGAGCGAGGAACGTTTGAGGTAAGAACACAAATTATCACCCTAATCAGTTGCTAAGTATAATTCTTAATCTGGTTCTTCGTAAATAAATTAATTTGATTACTTTATTCGTACATAAATTAATATAATCTATAGAGTATCTCAAAAGCTTTATGAAAATTTTTGTTATACATGATCCGCTACTCACGCGCTTCCGAATCCGAAATCGTTTCGGAAACCAACATTATTATGGAATGAAACTTACGTAATTAGAGCATCTCTAATGCAATGTTGTAATTGATGTGCTAATTTTAAATTTATTATTTAAGTGCAAAAAATACTCTCTAATACAACGCAATTTATTGTGATAAATTTGTCATATGTTATACTTTGTGGTAAATTTTTTGTCAAGTATAGCATATAGTAAAATTTGTATTTGATTTATATTGGTTGACATGATTATTTTTTCATTTTATCATCACAACTTTGCTTTTTTAAATTATTTTTAAAATAAAAGGTTACTTTTACAATTTTAAAGCTTAATAATTATATAAACAATAAATTTTAATATTTTAAATAACATTATATATTAGAGTATAAATGAAAATAATATGTCATATCATATTTTTAGTGCCAATTATAAATTGGCATTAGTATTTGTATTGAAGAAACATATGAGTTGAACGACCGAATAAGAGTTAAGAAACTGTTCTTGGTTTTTTTTTTTGTTTTCTTTTTTGCACGAAAGGATCATTAATGCCATCCTAATCTCCATCTCTATAATTGTGTGTATACATACATATATATATAATAAATTTTGGTGTCTTCTAATAGAATAAAGGTTTAATCTAATTTTACTCGACGTATGACCCCAATTTCATTAACACAATCATGGCTCCAATGTCCACAATTAGTTTTCTAGACAAAGATCTTTACTCAATTGCTGAGTTTGAAATCTGGTCATATCTTGAAAGAAGAAAAAAAATCTTCATCGTCCATATGATATGATATAGCCAACATGAATCTTGATCAAATACCTTTTTATATTATTGATTTTTTCTTTAAAAATCAATATTTCCAATGCTACAAAATATCAGTATGCAAACCAACAATCTAACTTTTTTATTCATATCTCACACGTTCCATGACCAAAAAAAGGGGTGTATATATAGGCAATATTTTGATTTTGAAAAGATGAAAATTTTATTGTACGTATTTGGAACTGTTTTTAAAAACAGTTTTCACGTATTTTAAAAAGTAAAAAATGAAAATGAAAACGACGTTTATTTAACAAATGTTTTGAAAATAAAAATAAAAATAAAAACAGTGAGAATGATTTTTGTGAAAGAATTAAAAAACAGTTGAAAGTTGTTCTCAATTTTCTGTTTTCATTTTTTTAATACTTATCAATAATTTTATAATATATTAATTAATAAATACGATTTTATTTTTTTATTATGCTCAAAATAATTTATTAAAAAATTAATTAAACACAATTTTAAAATTAATACCATAATGATTATCAAAAGAATCACATTTTAGTTTTTATTAAAAATAAAATTATTTTAAAACAAATTCTAAACACACCTATTATGTGTGTAGTATAGTACCCTTACATATTGTTGAGACAAGCTTAACTTGCGGAGCTGTCATTTTCTGTAACTAATTTTGTTTTAGTAGTCTTGTATTAACTTAATATAAATATAAAAATAAATGTCTCATTCGATCTGTGAATTAGAATTTTTAATTTAAATTTATATTTAATTTTATGTGAAATTTTTAATTATAATTAAAAAATTAAATTAAATTTTTTATGAGAATTTTTTACTTTAATAAAATTTAAATTGGTGAAATAAACTAGGCTAAAGCTCTAATTAATTCGGTTGAGCATTTTCTCATTTCTCACGAGTTCCAGAATATTTTTTCAATTTCTCTTCTTCAAGATTCTTCCGGTTTCCTTTCTTCGTATCAGAGATTTCTTGACCTACGTTAATGGCGGCTTCGTCCTCCTCTGGAGGTTCTTCTATTCGTTTTCTGCAACTCTTATTCCTCTTGTTCTGAAGCTTGATCGGAACAATTTCTTCATCTGGCGTTCTCAAGTGTTGCCTGCGGTTCGCGCGCACGATCTGGAAGGATTTCTCACCGGTTCTCGCCTTCCTCTTCCTGAATATATGCCTCTTCAAGCCGGCGAAGGAAGTTCAGCATCTGATGCGCCTCCTGGATTTGGATCTGTTCAATTCCATGTAAATCCAGAATATATTTTCTGGATGTGTACAGATCAAGGACTGATGGCGTGGCTTCTTGCTTCGATCTCGGAATCGATGCTCGGACATGTTTGTCGCTGCACTACTCTCATGAAATTTGGATGACTTTGGGGCATCTTGCTTCTGGAAATTCTCGTGCTCATCTTCTTCAATTGCGTTACTAGCTTCAATCCGTGGAGAAAGGCTCGATATCGATCAACGATTACATCCTCAAGGTGCGGAGTATTGCTGATAATCTCACTGCAGCTGGTCATGTTATTTCTGACGATGATCTTATCTTGTACATTCTTAGAGGTTAGGATCTAAATATGATCCAGTTGTTGTCAATTTAACTTCTCGTTATGAGGCTATTTCTCTCTCTGAAGTTCAATTCTTGCTTCAAAGTTTTGAGATGCGTCTTGAATCTCTGTCTGCTACAGCCAATATTGACCTCATTTAGTCCTCTGTAAATGTTGTTACTAATAACACTAGGAAGAATTTTAAGAACTCTCAGTCTTTTGTTAATGGTGGTCGTAATGGTGGAAACTTTCATTCTCGCGGCGGTCGTTGTGGACGCGGTCGCAGCAATTCAAGCAATTTACGTCCTATTTTCCAAATCTGTGGTAAAACTGGTCCTCTTGCTCCGAGGTGCTATTCTTGTTTTGATCATAATGTTCAAGGTCCTAAAATCTCTTCGCAGCCTAACTGAGCTCCTCGGGCCTTTGTTGCTACTCCAACAACTGTCAATGATCCCTCGTGGTATGTTGACAGTGGCACAACTGATAATGTGATAGCTGATCTTAACAATCTGAGTCTCAGATCTGATTACAATGGCAAAGACAAGCTGACTATTGGTAATGGTCATTCTCTTTCTATTTCTCATATTGGAACATCAGTACTTAGTACTTCTGCTCATCCTTTATAATTGAATAATATACTTCGAGTGCCTCAAATCACTGAAAATTTGATTAGCGTTTCAAAGTTTACTTCGGGACAATGATGTTGTTTCTGAGTTATTTTCTGATTGTCTCTTGATTAAGGACAAGAGTACAAATCGGGTCCTTCTCAGAGGGATACTTAAAGATGGCCTTTATCAGTGGAAGTTCTAAAGCAACCTGAAGATTTTCTTTCAGCTACAGCAGTATCTAGTTCCTCTGCTCGAAGTCTTTTGTTTCAGTTTTATCTACTAGTACTCATGATGTTGCTGATAAATCTATTGTTCAGAGGTGTTCTCCTTCAACTACTTTTTCAAATAAGTTTGTAATGACATGTAGTGCTGGAGCTTCTCACAATTGTAATATAAGCAGTTCTACACCTTTTGACAGCAGTATTGTAAATTTGTGGCATAGACGACTTGGTCATCCTTGTACAAAGGTCTTAAGTCAAGTTTGTAGACATCTTGATTTGTCATCGATTGATGTACATAAAGTGGAATTTTGTGCTTCCTGTCAATAGGGAAAATCTCATGGCCCTCCTTTTCCTTATCTGATTTTCATGCTGGCATGCCTTTGGATCTTGTATATGGTGATGTTTGGGGACCAGCACTGCTTTTATCTGTTGATGGCTTTCGTTATTACATTTACTTTGTTGACGATCATACTAGATATTCTTGGATTTATCCTCTTAAAACTAAAGGTGATGCAGTGGATGCCTTTCAGTTGTTTAAAAATCATGTTGAACGTTTCTTTGATAGAAAATTGAAGTGTTTGCAGACTGATTGGGGTGGGGAGTTTAGAACTATGTTGCCTATTTTACAACATTTAGGGATTATTTTTCGACACCCTTGTCCACACACTCATCCTCAAAATGGTAGAATAGAACGAAAGCACAGACATGTTGTGGAAATGGGTTTAACCATGCTGGCTCAAGCTGCAATGCCATTAAAGTTTTTGTGGCTTGCTTTTTCTGCAGCTGTTTTTCTTATTAATAGACTTCCTACTCCAGTTCTAAAAAATAAGTGCCCTTTTGAGGTTGTTCATCACTGTTCTCCTGATTATCATTTTCTAAAAGTGTTTGGAGTGGCTTGTTATCCTCATCTACGTCCTTATAATAAGCATAAGCTGGCTTTCAAGTCTTCATTACGTGTTTTCTTAGGATATAGTTCCAGACATAAAGGATATCTGTGTCTTCATTCATCTGGGCGTATATATATTGCAAGGAATGTTATTTTTGATGAGAACCATTTTCCTTTTGCTCGAGGTTTTCCGTCTCAAGTTTTGTCAGACTCTTCCACTATATCTTCTGGTTCACTAGACTCCTCTTTAGATACTGGTTTTGTTGTCTCCTATTTTACCTGCTGCTATATTCAGTCCTGATTCTCCTGCTTTTGCTGCGTCACCTGCTCCATCTGGTGCCTTGTCTAGTGCAGAAACTGCTGATTCTGCTGCTGCTGTTGTCTCTGCTGAAGCTGTGTCTTTGCTGACGCTGTTGTTTCTGCTGCCAACTCTGACGCGCCTGCCACTGCTATTTTGTCTCCCATGGAGACTGATTTTCCTACAATAGGCGCGCCAGTTGTGTCTTCCACTGCTATTTTGTCACCTGCCACTGCCACTGCTCCTCATACTGATTCTTCCTCAGCTCTTGTTTCTAGGAAGTTGCAATTTCCTGAGTGTCCTTTATGCACTATGCATACAGTTTGTCCTTTATCGATTCATCCTATGACTATCAGATCAAAAGTTAGTGTTTTTCAACCCATGAGCTATGTTGCTGCACAAGATGAGACTGCTACTCTTGAACCATCATCTGTTTCTGCTGCACTCTTAGATCCTAGGTGGAAAAGTGCCATGACTGATGAGTTTGAAGCCTTAATTCGTAATGGCACTTGGCAGCTGGTTCCTGACTCACCAGAGATGCATGTGGTTGACAACAAGTGGGTGTTTCGAGTCAAAGTATAATCCAGATGGTACTGTTCAACGTTATAAGGCAAGGTTGGTTGCTAAGGGTTTCCAACAAACTCCTGGTTTTGATTACTTTGACACGATTAGTCCTGTTATTAAGTCTTCTACTATTCGTGTTATCTTGACTTTGGCTGTCTCAAATGGTTGGGATATTCAGCAAATTGATGTGAATAATGCTTTTCTTAATGGAGATCTTAAGGAAACTGTTTTGTTGGCACAACTTGCTGGTTTTATTGATTCTACTAAGCCAAGTCATGTTTGTCAGTTAAAGAAGGCTCTTTATGGCTTAAAACAGGTTCCTAGGGCCTGGTTTGAAAAGTTAAAGAGTACTCTGCATCAGTGGGGATTTACTAATTCTAAATCTGACACTTCTTTATTTACCTATCAAGCTGATGGTGTTACACTTTACGTCCTGGTTTAGGTTGATGATATTTTGATTACTGGTACTCACGTTAGAGAGATTGTAATATGTCTCTCAATTACAAGATCACATAATCTTTGGCCTAAAACACAAGGAAAATGGCAAGGAAGCGTTGCAGCGCATGTTTAATGCGTTGCAGCCATAGGCACTGCAGCGCCAGTTTTGGGCGCTGCAGCACCTGTCCAGAAAACAGGCGCGCTGCAGCGCCTGTTTTGGGCGCTATAGCGCTTGCAGTGCAGACCTCTCGGGTCTGTTTTGCGCTGCCTGAGTGCTGCAGCGGGAAAAACACCCGCTGCAGCGGGTATTACTGCAGAAAACTATGTTTTTGTGTGTTTACGTGATCTGAAAGGTCTTGAACCATTGCATCCATTGGTGATATGTTTTCACACATATCTGAACACTTATTAGCAATATATATAACAATTGTAATAAGTGTATCAATCCCTGAAACGATACCCTTACATTGAAAATGTATATTTATGTGAAAAGTTGTAATGTTTAAAGAGGATGCATTCATTCATGAAATGACACATCTGTCTTTATTAATTCTCGAGAAAATTTACAGACTTAATTAATGTTCTGAAACTCAATATTATTGCTAGCTATTGTGTTCAAGGGTTTGTTGTATCTTGGGGGTAATTTACCATTAAAACTCATTAGCAAACTTTGAGAAGTGAGGGCAAATAAAACCTTAAAGGAAAGTATTCATATACGTCTCAAACCCTCTCTTATTTCTACATTCTTTTTACCCTCTACACTCAAATTCTCGAACAACTCATCATGCTAAAATTAGTCAGGTTGTTCATGATCTTAATAAGCAATTTATTTTGAAGGTTCTTAGTCCTTTACACTATTTTCTTGGGATTGAAGTGAAAAGAAATTCTCAAGGCTTGTGTCTTACACAAACCAAGTAAATTCATGATATTTTGGTATATGTCCTACTCCAATGGTAGCAAGTAGGAAATTATCTGCCTCTGATAGTGATGTGTTTGATCAACCATCTGTGTATAGAAGTACTGTTGGAGCACTTAAATATCTCACAATGACTAGACCTGACATTTCTTTTACCGTTAATAAACTTAGTCAGTATCTTCAAACACCAACTATAGAGCACTGGAAGGCATGTAAAAGGGTTCTAAGATATCTTAAAAGGAACCATGGATCTTGGAATTGTTTTCAAGACAGCGTCCAGACTTGTTTTAGAGGATTGGGCTGGATGTGTTGATGATCGAAGGTCTACTAGTGGCTATGCTATTTTTCTAGGTGGCAATCTAGTAGCTTGGTGCACTAAATCTGAGTACAAGTCTTTGGCTTTAGCTTCTACTGAGGTTATTTGGATCAAGACCTTGCTTCAGGAGTTGAATGTCAAGCTGGATTCTTCTTGTGCTGTATTATGGTGTGACAATCTTAGTGCTACTTCTCTGGCCTCTCTAATCCTGTGTTTCACTCCAGAACGAAACATATCCAAGTTGATGTCCATTTCATTAGAGAGAGTAGCTGCTAAAGGGATTGATGTTCGTTATGTGCCCACATAGGAATAAGTCCAATTGTCTTTTGTATGAGTCTCGTTTTATTTTTCTAAGAGACAAACTAACTGTGAAGAAATTCCCAGTTTAGTTTGAGGCTAAGTGTTTGAGACAAGCTTAGCTTGCTGAGCTGTCATTTTCTGTAACTAATTCTGTTTTAGTAGTCTTGTATTTGCGTAATATATAAATACAGAAACGAAAGCTCTAACTAATTCAGCTGTTAGTTTGATTGATTAGCATAGAGTTCTGAAAAAGATGAAACACTTTTTATCAAACATGCAATAAGTTCATCTACCTAGCACATGGCATGATGTGCAAGAAAATCTCAAAGTGGTTTCTTTCAAAAGGTTCAGCTGGCACGTCCTTTTCTTTTATTACTTTGATTTGGATATGAAAGTTGGACTCAGTCGATTCAATTACTAACTCCATAATTATAAGAATATAGACACTCAAATTAATTAATAACACTTCCAATTTCTCATATTCAATATCTTGTAATGAATGCCTATATAGCCTATATTAAACCCAAGCCATTAATATTAGATTCAAGATCATCGTGGAATTTTACCCAAAACTCTCTCTCTCTCTCTCTCTCTCTCTCTCTCTCTCTCTCTCTCTCTCTCTCTCTGGTGTAACTGATCATGTGTCACATAAAAACGAATGGACATTTATAGGGCACTTTAGTGAATGCTATTTTTTGAATGGTAAGAGTTATATATGTTTCTGCAGTCTCTAGAATCATGTTATGCCGAGGACTTAACCATAGGAAATCAACTGCATTAGATTGACATTTAGGGTCAAAATTCTCTCTCTCTCTCTCTCTCTCTCTCTCTGGTGTAACTGATCATGTGTCACATAAAAACGAATGGACATTTATAGGGCACTTTAGTGAATGCTATTTTTTGAATGGTAAGAGTTATATATGTTTCTGCAGTCTCTAGAATCATGTTATGCCGAGGACTTAACCATAGGAAATCAACTGCATTAGATTGACATTTAGGGTCAAAATTCTTTATATTTAATTTATAAACAAGTTAACAAAATCCTGAAGTATGTTTTTCATATGCGGCTCAACAAATATTATTGATCAACTACTGACTTGAAACTGATAAAACTAATAATTAATTGTTTAATTAGAAGGCTAGCACATAGAAAATTTGCCACTAAAAAGTTGGTATATATGGAATATACTAATAGCCTTGATTTGCCTTCTTAGTAACGATTTTGAATCTTTAAAGAAAACACTTATGCTATTCACTTTATACTGATTGTAATTAATTAATATAGTACTACTCTGAAATTAACTAACAAATTGAATTGAATAATATTGTAATGGTGGTCCTCATATATAGTACGAACGTCGGTAGCTAGCTAGGGTGGCCATATGGGCCACACTTTTCTCTTTTTGGTGCTTCAAAAAGCCTGTTCATGTCCAATTAAGCTTCATTTTTTATCAATCATGCATTAATATGGCTGCAATCTCAAATCCTCAGCAACGCATATTTCAAGCCTTATCCTTTTATTACTCTCTTACCACATAATATTGCTAGCATTTAACTACCCATATTCACAATTATCATTTTTTTTTTTTCACTTTTTGTAGAAATGATAGAAGGCTATATGTTTCTTTGCTTTTCTTTTCTTTTCTTTTTTTTTTTTGTACTGAAATTAACAGTGTATAGATCAGAAATATAAACAAGGCTCTTTATCGTAAGAGGCAACTTTCTAGACCAATAAATTACTATACAGAGCTCCTCATATAGAGTTTTTAGCTAAAATTATTGATGATCTTAAGCCTTTTATTGTTATATTTTGACTTTTTTTTTTAAAATTTCTGAAAAAAAAAAGAATGTCGTTGGGTGGTCTGCCCATGGTTATTTATAGTAATTTAGGTTACAACAACTTAGCAGCTATTCAAGATTCAATCTCAAAAAAAAAAAAAAAAACAATACTAAGTCCGTTTATTTCACCGATTTGAGTTTTATTACAATAAAAAGCTCTGAGAAACAGTCATATCTAACTTTTTTACTACAATAAAAAGTTCTCACATAAAGTCACATCTCAACTCGAATTAAAAGTTCGAATCAACGAACTAAACGGACCCTAATGACACAAGTAACAGACGGTGCATTATGTACGTTTAAATAGTGATTGCATAAATTCCGTGTAACATAAAGAAACTGTTTACAGAAACCAATGGATATTGGGCCTAACTCAACCTAATAAAACCGGCTTATTAATGGAGGATTGCCCTCACCTTATTAAGTGGATCATGCCAATATCTCCAGTCAATGTGGGATTCTAATACGCCCCCTCACGCATAGCGTGGACCATGTCAAATCGCTGCAAATAAGTTGATATTGGGGGACCCAATATTGCAAAACTGGGCCTGCTCTGATATCATTTTACAGAAATCAAAGGATATTGAACCTAACTCAACTTAACAAAACCGGCTTATTAGGAGAGGATTACCCTCATCTTATTAAGTGGATCATGTCAATATCTCGGGCCAACGTGGGATTCTAGTAAAACCTAACACGCAAAGGAATATGCATCAGCCATGTGACTTTGTTTCATGTCAGATCATCTCAGTCCTGGTGAGCATAATTTTGCAAAATATGTTTAACTATATTCTTCTTTTCTTTCTTTTAAATCTATATAAGTAGACTAGTCACAAGTGATACAGCTAGATGCAGTTAACGCATCCTTATAATTGTGGGGTGCATTTACACATTAAGTGTGGCGAACAGTTAGCGGTTGAATCCCATTTAATGCAAAATGCAAAACTAAACGCTTTTCTGATTATATAAATACCAAAGTATTTGAGGTTCTCATCACCGACGACGAGCTAAGTGAAAAGATCTTTCAAGATGGCTCGTGGGGCTTGGAGACTTGCATTATTGTTATCTGTGTTTTGCTTTAATGTTTTGGTGGTGAGTGTGGTTGCAAGAAATGTGGCTATTGTGAAAAGAGATGAGGAAGAGAAATTCTTAGGCTTTGGGAAGGGAGGTGGCTTTGGTGCGGGATTTGGTGGTGGTAGCGGCGGCGGCTTTGGAGGTGGCGGAGGATTTGGAGGCGGTGGTAGCGGCGGAGTTGGTGGTGGTAGTGGCTTTGGAGGTGGAAGTGGTGGTGGAGGGTTTGGAGGTGGAAGTGGTGGAGGGTTTGGTGGTGGTGCTGGCGGTGGTTTTGGTGGCGGTGGTGGAGGAGGAGGTGGTGCAGGAGGCGGCTTTGGAAAGGGTGGTGGAGTAGGAGGTGGTGCCGGTGGTGGTGCTGGAGGAGGCTTTGGAAAGGGTGGTGGAGTAGGAGGTGGTGCCGGTGGAGGATTCGGAAAAGGTGGTGGAGTAGGAGGTGGTGCAGGAGGAGGATTCGGAAAGGGTGGTGGAATAGGAGGTGGTGCCGGTGGAGGATTCGGAAAAGGTGGTGGAGTAGGAGGTGGTGCAGGAGGAGGATTCGGAAAAGGTGGTGGAGTAGGAGGTGGTGCCGGTGGAGGATTCGGAAAAGGTGGTGGAGTAGGAGGTGGTGCAGGAGGAGGATTCGGAAAGGGTGGTGGAGTAGGAGGTGGTGCCGGTGGTGGTGTTGGAGGAGGATTTGGAAAGGGTGGTGGTGCAGGTCGTGGAGCAGGAGGTGGTTTTGGAAAAGGTGGTGGAGCAGGAGGTGGCTTTGGAAAGGGTGGTGGTATTGGTAAGGGCGGTGGAGTTGGAGGTGGCTTCGGAAAGGGTGGTGGAGCCGGTGGTGGTTTTGGTAAGGGCGGTGGAGCAGGTGGTGGCTTCGGAAAGGGTGGTGGTGCTGGGGGTGGTATTGGAAAGGGTGGACGAGTTGGTGGTGGCTTTGGAAAGGGCGGTGGACTTGGCGGTGGTATTGGAAAAGGTGGAGGAGCTGGTGGTGGCTTTGGAAAAGGTGGCGGAGTTGGTGGTGGTTTCGGAGGAGGACATGGGAAAGGTGGTGGAGTTGGTGGTGGCTTTGGAAAGGGTGGTGGAGCTGGTGGTGGCTTCGGAAAGGGCGGTGGGGCCGGTGGTGGCTTTGGAAAGGGTGGTGGAGTCAACGTTGGCTTCGGAGGAGGACATGAGAATGGCGGTGGTTTAGGTGGTGGAGCAGGAGGAGGGTTTGGAAAGGGCGGTGGTATTGGTGCTGGTATAGGAGGGGGACATGGTAAAGGTGGTGGATTTGGTAGCGGCGCAGGAGGAGGCTTTGGAAAAGGTGGCGGCATTGGTGGGGGAGGAGGGCTTGGAAAGGGAGGAGGCATTGGTGGTGGTGGAGGTTTTGGAAAAGGAGGCGGCATTGGTAAAGGATTCGGTGGTGGTTTTGGAGGAGGCATCGGTAAAGGTGGTGGCTTTGGAGCAGGAGGAGGTGCTGGAGGTGGCGGTGGTGGTGGCGGGTTTGGTGGCGGTGGCGGTGGCGGTATTGGACACCACTAAGGTTTACGTTGTATGTAGTTAGGGATTTGCATGCCAAATTGAGCCAATACAAGCATTCCTACTGTTGGTTTAATATGATAAGTTTGCATCTAGTGAAATAATTCACATAAAAGCCTGATTTTATAATTACATTGATGTATTTCTTGAATATATATTGTGAGAGGTGAGGTGAAAATTACGTACAAGTGCATATCTCCCTTATGAATGATCACATTTTTTTTTTTCCCGACTTTCCAATTCTTTCACATTAGGTTTATGTTTACCACAACTATATTCCATTTTTTTATTCGTATAGAACAGTGATAAGATTTGAGTGAAGATGACTATTTTGGGATTTAAGATGGTGTTTTATGAGGTTGCTGGACTTTTTGTATTGAAATTGTGTTTTTTTATGATGAGTAGTACGGTATACTACATCCGGTAATATGTTAGTAGTTGGATATTTTCAGTAGGACGATGGACTACATTCAGCACGACAACAGGATACCATCAGCAGCACGGTAGAACTTTACTGATCTAAAGACTATTTCCAGAAGTCTGGATGTTTTTACTATTGAGTTAGCGTAACGTTTTCTGCAAAATTTCTTTTTATGATAAATTAGTTTACGAGTTTGATTGTGGTATGTATATATTCGAAAGTTCCCTTAATTATATTTGGGAGAATGAGGTAAATAACAATTTTCAGACAGTATAGAAATAGATGGTAAAAATGTCACTATCAATACAGAGTTGATAAGGAAGATAACTGCCAATGCAATTATTAATGTGATTATTCTAACTATATTGAGTATCATACACGTAACGATCATGATGAGAATCGTTATTATTTTTTTTTAAGTTAGTAAATAGCAATACATTCGTAACTTACTAGGCGAATCCCATATTTTCCCAATAATCAAATTGACAAATCCAAGATTCCATAATCAAATTTAGTAAACTGGGGATTTATCTGGTAAATGCCAAGTTTTTCCCATGATTAAACTTGAAAACCCCAGAATTTATCAGATTTACTCTTATAAAATCGTAAATTATATACATTTTTACCAATATCTTCTATTTTTTTTTATTTACATAATATATATCAATTTCTTAGTTAATATCCTCCATATTTTATGGTTACAAATTTTCTTTCAGAATTAAAAATGCTATTTATTAACAATTCAAAACTAACCTATTTGGTACGATTTCTCTATTTTCCCATGTGGTTCGTGTTATTTCTACTTTCTTGGCCTAGAAAACTACTGGACCAGGTTTCCCAATACCAGACGGTCGGCTTGGACTACAGAGCAAAGCGGCGACAAATCCAAAGCTGAAATGTGTTAATTAGATTTCTCATGTGGACCAGCCGAAAAAACAGAAATGATATATTTTGAAAGAGGACGCATTTAAGGCTGAGAATGTTATTTTGCTTGAGAATTCTGTTTCATCTTTCTAAACAACAATAAGGGTAATTTTATGTCGCGTTATAAATTTTTAATATTAAATTTAATCATTAAAAAATTAATTAACAATTAAAAATAACAATTTCTACGGGCGGAGAAAAATTCTTTACCATAAATATTCTCAGAGATAAAAGGGTAATTACAGTTGGAATCACGTTGTTGACAACAATTTGCCTTAAATCTCATGATACATTTGTCCAAAAAACCATTCTACTATGGTTACTTTTGTGTCCTTAGTCAAAGCAATGTCCTCTCAACCTATAAAGTACTAAAACCTTGTCATCTTAAGCAAATACAAAAAAGTAGAATTGATTTTGGATGTTAATTAATTAAACTTAATTATGATTTATGAAGGAGTTGGCATTGGTGGTGGTGGAGGTTTTGGAAAAGGTCGTGGGTTTGGTGGTGGCATTGGTAAAGGATTCGGTGGTGGTTTTGGAGGTGGATTTGGCGGTGGTGCAGGCAGAGGTGGTGGCTTTTACAGAGGACTTGAATGATTGAGTAGAAGAATGTTAAAAAATATATGTTCCAGAGTTTTTTTTTTTTTTTTTTTTAATTATTTTATTTAAAGGTAATGTATCAAACTTTTGAGTGGATGGATAAACAACAAAATGGAAAGAGAATTTGGTTCCGTCTAGCATGCCTCACGTGAATACCTAATTGAATATAGGACGCTATTTATCAACACAAGGGAAGTTCATGGGTTAGTTTCTCTACATCAACAAATTTAGCACCAAGTGAAGTTGTACTATAGGGATTAAACAGCTGGGGACTAGCTCCGGTTTAACATTCAGAGTATAGTGGAAACTAAGGAGAGTGTTATAATAGGGTATGAAAAACTAAACCACTAATAGTGTTGGAGACGTCTATAATGGTGTATAACTCAAAAGTCAACACGCAGATTTTATTTGAAATAAAATTTATAAGACATAATAGGGAATGTATTCTTTTGAAAATATTATGGAATAAATTTAAATTTGGTGGGAGGAAACACTCTAGTAAAAAGGCATGCATGAATAGTAATTTAAACCTATGAAACAAACACGTAGTGAGTAATTGGGTAACTTATTATCTAATAAATAACCGAAGTTATACTTTTCATATTTTGTACTTGTTCCCTTTATGATAGGTATGATTATAAATAGGTGTGGTTATAAATAGCTAGGTAGTAAAGTATAAACGAACGTGACGAAAATTCATTGTAATTCTTTCAGTTCTCTCTCTTCTAGTCTTCCATAGGTTATTGAGTTGTGGGCTATTTATGGTTGTTCAAGCATAAATTTGTAATAACTAAACATCGTGAGCGATCAAGGACATGGTGATGATCGTGTTTGTGGAGGATCGTGACTTAGAGTATGAAAATCATATTCGTAATTAGAGTAGTATTGTGAGGCTATCTCGTGGTGAATCATGTACTGAAATCGAATCGAATATCTGACCTGAAATCACCGTAGACGCTTCAACACATGTACCTGATGATATTTTTTCTATCAAATAGTGTTATCTTTTAAACCGTTAGTTTTTTTTTTTTTTTTTTTTTTTAAAGGAAATATACTTTATTAGGCTATATCGGCAGAAATCAAACGAGAAACAATTTTATTAGGCTCTATGAAATAGTATTTAAAATATATATACTATTAATTTTAACATTATTGTGAATTAATGAGCTAAGATCTTGGTAATAAAACAATCTCAGAGATAATAGAAAAAAAGAGGGAAATATGCCAAGACTTGAAATGAATTAAAATTAATAGATCAATAGTTTACATAAGTTAATAAATAGGCCAAATTATTGCTTTTGTTCATAACTTGTCTGGTTATGAATCATAACTTGACAAGTTATTGTTCATAATTCACGATTTTTATCCATAACTTGTATACATATGAACCATAACTTGACAAGTTATAGCCTATTAATTTCTATAACTAAAAATTAGCCTATATACTTTCTTTAACTTTTCATATTGACATATTTTTTACTATTTTCGAAGATAATATTTGTCTGAATTATGACTAGCTAGGCCTTTATTAAAATACGCGAAATTCAGCACGATATCTAACCTGGTCACGTGTCTATTAAAAGTGTGGAAATAATAGATTGGCATCTAAAAGCTTCCTCGATTCAAATTCAAGCAAATGGGAAAGTTGGCCAATCAAACTATAAGTCCATTCACATGGAAAAAACCTCTTATAATTTTTTCCGATACAGTAAAATTATTCACTTCTCAAAAATTTAGTAGACGTAGCCTTTCGTTAAAGGTGAATCACTCTAAAAATCCTTTAATCACTCTAAAAAATGTATATTTTATTTATAATCCTGTTACCTACTATTTATGTACGTGTGCTCATTCGTAGTGAGATGATCGCAAGAGTATTATTTGTTAGATGAAATTTGACCGTTTGTTGTTATGTGATTTTAACCGTGTCAACGTTAAAAAACGCACACACTCGTACCTGGCGCACAAAGTTCCAAATAAGAGATCGAATGCACAACATTTGCAGTTGCATTCATCATTGCATCGGCCCAAGAAACATGCAAATGGGCAGGCAATTCTTTATGCTTAAAGTGATAGGAGAGAGAGAAAATAGAAACCTTCATCATATAGAGAGAGAGAGAGAGGGCCGGTCATCATACTAAATCCAACAAATAAGCAAATGCCAATCATCCCACTTGAGAGAGAGATTGGGAGATCACCATGAAGCCCCGGGGCCAGCAGTTGACCAAAGTGGGGTGGTAATATTCAAAGTGGGCCCCATGACATTCCTTCCCAATTCATCTACCCATTAAGTAAAAAAAATTGTTAAAAAAAACGGAATGAAATAGAGTCCGTTTAGTCAGAGGATTTGTTTTTTTGATTCGAATTATAATTTATAGTTCGTTATTATATTTTTTCTCATAAAAAATACACACGTAAATAAAAAATAATTTTAATTTTATAGTTCTAATCTATAAACTAAACGAACTCATAGTTGATTTCTAATATTTTATTATTATTTGCCTTGGTGTGAATTTCCTTGTCAACAAATGAAAGACAAATGCTAAGCCCAAGGATCAAAATTCTTCCTCTTTGTTCAGCGTTCACACCCCTTTGCAAGAGTTTGTCAGAGTGTTAGATTTCATAATTTAATGCATCACAATAAGCTCTGTCGCAGAAAGCCTCAGGGAAAAAAAAAAATTGCTTAAAACGTTTTTCAACAACAGAAGCACTCGAAAAACAAAAATAATGTTATGATTACAGAAAAGGGTGTAACCGGAGAAAAAGATAGAGAAGAAGGAAAGAAGACAAGCTTTTATTGGAATAGCTTTGGATTCTTGGCTCACAAGATAAAAACTAAAGCAACTTTTTTTTTTCTTTTCTTTTTTTTTTTGTACCATTTTTTTTTTCTCTTGGATGAATTGGAGATGAACGGCGGACTTGATGTCTTGTGGGCTCAGTTTGGCAATCAAAAGGTGCTTTATTTTGAGTGTGTTTTTGATCTCCACTTTGCTTCTTTCTTTCTTTCTCTCTTTCTCTTCTCCTGTTTTTATGTAAATAAATAAAATTCTTTGTCTTGTTCTTCAGCTTTTAACTTCAAAAGTCATTTCCATTTTTCCCATACCATGATCAGATTAGTACTGAATTCATCTGGGTTTACTCTGATTTCTGAGTTTTTGGTGAGTTTTCAGCTCAGCTTGCAAAATCATTGGTGGGTTTTTCTTTTTCTTTTTCTTTGTTTAAAGAGTGTTGACTCTCATTGTCCAAAAAGTCAATGGTTTTTAAGTGTCTCTATATAAATATATAAATACATAAAATATCTGTGTATATGTATGCATATTGATATATGTATATATTATGTCAGCCGTTTCAGTTTTCATATTTATGTGGTTGACAAATTTGATGGTGCAGAAGTGGGACAAAAGGGTATGAAAACAAATCATTGGATGAGCAAGAGAAGAATATTTTCTGGTTTAGCAACAAGGTTGAGAAAAATGTTGAAGTGCATTCGTTCAGGGGAGCAAATGAAAAAGGCAGAAAATGAATATGATGATAATGAAATGGACCATTCATCGGATTCATTAGCAACCAGGGACTATTCTGCAAGTGGGTATTCTTCTAGACCAGGAGAAGTGGAACAAAAGGTTGATACTAGCAATATTGAAGAGGCTGAGTCTTCACTACGAGAAAGTGGTTATCTCAACTATGAGGTTTGTTAATTTGTTGCTTTTTAGTCACAATTTTTGCTTCTTTCTTGTTAGCTTTTTTGCTTGTTCTATTGAGCTTATACACAAATTTGGGCTCGGTTGATTCTAGTAGGGATAACTGGATAAGCCTAAAATAGGAAATGTGAAGTCCGACAGCCGGATCAGTCTCGTAAATGTAACTTTTTTTTGCATTACCGTGTAGCATGGTCTTTTCGTGTGTAAATTGAAATTGGTTTAAGGAGTTTAGAAGTTTTGTTTTGTTTTATTTTATTTTATTTTATTTTTTGTTGTATTGTGTATATCCATGGATTTTAAAAGTTGAGATTATAAACAAATTTGGGCTCGGTTGATTCTAGAAGGGATAATAAGATAATATGTTTTCATTGAAATTAGAGCAAGGATTTATCACGAGTTTTCAAAAATGTAGCGTGATTATACTCTCTAATCACACAATGTTCACCCTTGTGTTTTACGGGTCAGGTTTAAGTAATGTTAGTTGTGCAAAAAGACACTATCGTCCTTCATAAAAGAAATACTAGTTTTCAAATAAAAATGTCGAGGTATGATAGGTGACTTTGATCTTCATTTTTTCTCCGACATTTGACAATAATCAATTTTTTTTAGAGCTTTATTTTTGTTGCATTTCAATCAAAACACAAGGTAAATTCTTGCATTTCAATCAAAATACATGGGAAATTTGTTAGAATTTATGTGATTTATAACACATGTAAACAATATCTTATAATACTTTTATTTGGTTGGCAATGAAACTGAAGATGCTTTGATGGAAGTAATCTTTACTAGTTCACTCCACATATTTTTAGCACAGAACAAGATATATTACGGTGCTAAGTTTAGCAAATTTTTGGCATCCTGGTTTTAAATTTGGATGAAAACTTCATTCAAAAGAAATTGTATAGGGGTAGATTTTCTTGGTCCAAGAAATTTATTTCTACCATTACGAAATTCTTTGAAGGCAAAATGTTCAGATGACAGCAATCATAAGCCCAGGTCAATAGTATAATAATGCAGTTTTCGTTTTTGGTTGAATTGGATTGTCCACATGGGTCTAACAAGAACTAAGAGGGGTAAGAAACTGTTAGATATGACCCGAAAATCTTGTTTGGTAAGAGAGAAAAGTGGAAGGAGGGGTAGAGATGGGAAAATTAGTGGATGGATTTCAAGACTTTTAGTTGTTTGGTAGGAGGGATTGGAGGAGTGAATAGATTAAGGATTCAAAATCCTTCGAAGGACGCTAACTTTGATCGTCTCAAAATTAAAAGGATTGAAGAAAGTGAATTTATACTGAACACAGAATAAGACCAAACATAATTTCCTAAAGATTTAAAACAATTACTTCAAAACTGTATCATATAACTTGATGTGTTTATATTAGTTTTTTTGTGATTTCAAAGTCATCTTCAAAATTTTCTTGGAGCTAAGGAATCTTTAAAATTTGTAGGAAGCAAGAGCTCTACTAGGAAGACTTGAATACCAAAAGGGTAATATAGAAGCTGCTCTTCATGTCTTTGAAGGAATAGACATTGCTGCTGTGACTCCTAAGATAAGGGTAGCAATTTCGAGAAGATGCGAACAAAATAGACGCCGTTCGCAAAGTGATGCTGCCCCGCCTATGTCGATGCATGCTGTTAGCTTACTTCTTGAAGCCGTTTTTCTCAAATCAAAATCATTGCAAGGTCTCGCAAGATATGAAGGTATTTCCCTTCTTCCACATTTAATTCACATTCTTGTTTAACTTTTACAAGGCCATACTTTCATAATCTGTTTCACCTTGTATGTTCCAAGCCATGAGCTTGAAATGATCTGATCAAAGATTTTTTATTGCATTGTTGACATTTTTGCAGAAGCTGCTCAATCATGCAAAATTATTTTGGACAATGTCGAGTCCGCTTTACCCGAAGGCTTGCCCGAAAACTTCACTTCAGATTGTAAGTTACAAGAGACTCTAGCCGTAGCTGTTGAATTGCTACCAGAGTTGTGGAAACTCGCAGGATCTCTCCCTGAAGCTATTTTATCATACAGAAGGGCTCTCCTCTACAAATGGAATCTCGACAATGAAACTACTGCGAAGATTCAAAAGGAATTTGCGGTTTTCCTTTTGTACAGCGGCTGTGATGCAAGCCCTCCGAATCTTCGGTCACAGATGGAAGGCTCCTTTGTGCCAAGAAACAATTTGGAAGAGGCCATTCTGTTGCTCGTGATTCTACTAAGGAAGCTAGTCCTTGGAAGGATCGTGTGGGACCCATCAGTCATCGATCACCTGTCTTATGCATTGTCTGTTTCGGGGGAACTAAGGTCATTAGCTCACCATGTTGAAGAGTTGCTTCCAACAACCATGGAAAGAAGAGAAAGATATTGCATTCTCGCCCTTTGTTACTATGCCGAAGGTAAGGACTTGGTTGCTCTGAATCTTCTGAAAAACATATTGAATGACAGAGAGAACAAAGACTGCACACTTGAATTACTACTGGCTGCAAAGATTTGTGGAGAGAATTCAGTATGCATCGATGAAGGAATCGGTTTTTCTTGCAAATCACTTTCCACGTCGGGCAGAAAATGCAGCCAGATCGTAGGCATTTCGAATTGCTTACACGGTGTTTTACTGTCAGCTAAATCGCGATCAGCTACTTCAGATTCCGAGAGGATTTTGAAGCAATCTGAAGCGCTTCAAGCGTTGGAAACTTCTGAGAGAACAATGAGGGAGAGGAATCCATATGTTGTGTATCATCTTTGCCTTGAACATGCTGAGCAAAGGAAGCTGGATTGTGCGCTTTATTATGCAAAGCAGCTACTAATGCTAGAGGCAGGGTCTAGCGTAAAAGGCTATATTATTTTGGCGCGAATATTGTCGGCTCAAAAACGTTTTGCTGATGCAGAGACTGTGATCAATGCTGCTATAGAACAAACTGGGAAATGGGACCATGGAGAACTTTTGCGAACCAAAGCAAAACTCCAGATTGCGCAGGATCAGTTGAAGAATGCTATAGATACTTATACACATCTTCTTGCTGTAATTCAAGTCTGGACCAAAAGCGTAGGCGCTGAGAAGAGGCTTTTGAAGGTATGGTGCTTGATTGGTATGCAGTTTATGCAATTATTTTCATGTGAAATGCTTGAAGAATATACAAAAATTAGAAAATAAAAGAAATAAGGTCTTATCTTTGAAGTCCGCATCCATTAACTATTTCTATAAGATTGTTTGGTCGTTGCAAGTGATAGGACACATTATTGATCTCTCTTTTTACATGTTCGCAGAATAGGATAAAACATGATAGAAGCTTGGAAATGGAAACATGGCATGATTTGGCAAAATTGTATACAAGCTTGTTGCAGTGGCGGGATGCTGAGATCTGTCTTTCGAAATCACAGGCCATCAATCCTCATTCTGCATCTAGATGGTACTGTGCAGGTAACATCTCATAATTCCTTCCCTCTCCTCTCGGCTCATCAACGAAGAACTTTAGTTATAAAATTAGTGGATAATAATGCCAATATCTTTGTTGCCTAAAACCGTGCCATTTCTACCAGAAAGCGAAATTGACATAACCAGAATTTAAACTTGTGGAAGAATAGTTATAACATAGAAAGATGCTCTTTTCTGCATAAGAACTTGTTCAGAACACTACCAACTACAACCTCTAGAGATTGCGAGATTACTGAAATATTTTTTCTAACTGGTGCTTTCTAAGAGAAAATCAATAATACAAGTTTGACTTAAAATCTATTATCAAGGTACTTAAAAACATGGTGATTTCGCTAGGCTTGCTGAACGAAGCAAAGGGTCTTCACCAAGAAGCGTTGAAAGCATTTAGGAAGGCATTAGATGTTGACCCCACACATGTACCAAGCTTGATATCTACTGCCCGCATCCTCAGACAGCTTGGTAGCGAGTCGTTGCCGGTAGTGAGAAGCTTTCTCATGGACGCCCTTCGAATCGACAGAACGAACCCTTCTGCCTGGTACAATCTTGGGCTGCTATACAAAGCTGATCTTGCAGTATCGGCACTGGAGGCTGCTGAATGCTTCGAGGCTGCAGCAATTCTTGAAGAATCTGCACCAATTGAACCCTTCAGATGACTGATGACCAACTGTAGTTCGGGTCTGTCAACCATGTATGATGGTAAATTATAAATGTGTTTCTGTGAATACCCTTTTGACATTGACGTTTTCTGTAGTAGAAGAAAGGCAGGAGGAAATTAGAAAAATGACTCGTGTTAAATTTGCTTAATTCATAATGATAAAAGGGTTTAGCCTTTTTACCTTTTCTTCACTTGTTAAACTTCTATCAACATTGAAATATTATTAGTTGCTTTTCATACTTTTTTTCATGAAATGTACATCTAAGTATGAATCAACCAGAATTTTACATACGTGATTTGTTTATAGACCTGGTTTTATATCTAAAAATCATTTAACCTTTTACATACGTGATTTGCAAATAAGCAATATAAACAAAGTTTAAGCTGTAACATGAAGATTAAAAAGATTGAACATAATAGGCTGATAAAACTTAAGAGGAATAACAAAATGTAATTGGTTAAAACAAAATACATTGATTAGGCAAGCCTTGCCAATAAAATCAAAAGGGTAAAACAATCAAAGGGCAATCATTCTTTTCGAAGATCAATCCCGGCCTTCTTAGCAACGGCATCTAGTCCATTCTTCTCTATGGTCTTCAATGCCTTCGTTGACAAACGAAGTTTAACATAGCGCTTTCCGGCTTCCCACCAAATCTTTTTGTATTGTAAGTTGACAAACTGCAACTTCTTTGTCTTGTGGGCTGAATGAGAAATCTTATTTGCTTTGTTTGCCTTTTTTCCAGTAAAAGGACAAACTCTACCTGGAAAAGAGGCAGCAAATTTGCAAGTAAACCAATTGTATAACCATTTCTTTGAGATAAAGAAGGGAAGCAAATTGCAAACAAAGATGGCTCAAAATTTGAATCCAAGACTCAAATACTCCAAAAATCCACGAAAGAAAAAGACTGAAAAGAAAAGGCTTTTTAATGGCGAATAAAATGGGTAAAAATACATTTCAGTTTAACTACTGCATTCGGGAAATCTGATGTGAGATGAATTACAAGTTAGCTCCTTTCCGGGTTTAAAGTCAAAACCCGTGGACAGTTGGACTTCGAGGTATTATAAATTCTTTTATGTTACGGGGAGAAAAATTCTTGGCATTGATGCCGGGAATACAATAACTTGCAAATTTAAACATTGGAACTTACGCATTTGAACGTTGAAATTGAAAGACTTGTGCTTTCTAAAGGTTTCAGCATTCGTGTCGTGAATCACATTTGAGAAACAATACTTGCAAGCTTTAAAAGATAAAATTGCAAAACAGAACTATAAACTTGCAAACCGGCCATGAATTAGACACGGCACATAGAAGAACCTAAGTAGTAAGCAAAAATATATTCAAAAGACCAATAAAACCTCGTGATGACATAGAAAACTAACAATGCTTAGAACTACTTTCGCTTCGTTTACATCTAAAACATACACATCAACAAAATGAACCCATTGTTAGCTCCATTTTGTTTCAACTTTTTTTAACCCAACAGAACCATACAAAAACAAGATAAAGGCATAGATAAGGAAAAGCATTTTCTTCGTATAACCACTCCCAAAACAGATCAATAAACAATTGTCTACCATCATAACCGTGATTAGTTTTCAAGTTTTTGGGATTTTTTTCTTCTTGGGTTTGTTTCATTCTCTTGGCTTCACACATTGGAACTAAACTTCCATTGAGTTTACAACTTTCAGGAATATAAAAGTCCTCAAATGGGTGCCAAACTAACTGAGAGTAATCTAAACTCAGCTCTTTTTTTTCCTTTTTTTTTTCCTTTTTTTTTCTATAATAGTATATAGGAGTGGTAATTTGACAATCCAATCAGCAGTTCAAAATCACGAATCTGAAACCATATATTAGAGATAAGTTTATTCTGCTATCTTTCAATACATATATTATTGTTAGCAAAAAAAAAAAAGAAAATTATATCATTTAATCGACTATAATAAGAAAATAATAAGTGTACTAATATCAAACTTCTCTTTTGCAACTTCGGAACGAATATGAGGAACCAAAAAACAAAAAAAAAAAAAAAAAACCAATTTCACTCAAGAAAAATCATTCTTTCCAACAACCAAAAAAGACCCAATAATGCCAAAAAAAAAAGAAAAAAAAAAGAAAACAGAGACAAAAAAAAAAGTAACTTTAGCAGAATATGAGAAAGAAATGACGAGAAGCGTACGGGCAACGGGTTGAAGAAAGGGAGCGAAGTTGGTAGAGATGGGTTGTTTGAGGGGCTGAAACGACAAGTCGTTGGGGATTTTGAGGCCACTGAGGTGGGAAGCGACGAAGCCAAGCTCCGAAACGGTGGCGCTGTTGGGCTTTAAAGAAGAAGAGAATTGTCGTTTTGGGAAGCAAACTCGACCGCAAGTGGAAGTTCCCAGCGTCGCCGATGCTGCCATGGCTGAAACTTTCCTTTTGTTTCGTTATCTGCTTTTGTTGGTGTTCTGTTTGGATAAGAATTTTTCACCAAAACATTACACTCCGATTCGGGGCCTCTGCTTTTTGTCGGGTTTCTTTTCTTCTCTGTGAGATCGGGTTGGGATTTGGGTCGGATCTCTTTAATAGCCCTCGGTTGGGCTCTTTACGCATCTAGCAAAATCTGAAAGGTAGAGTTTAAATATAGCAAAATTTTTAGAATATTACAAAAATAGTAAAATTTTGATAACATTAGAATAATAATTATATCATTATGCAGTAGAAAATGTGGTATCATTATAATAATAATTATGTCATTTTTTGTTATATTTATAATATCCTTAAAATTTTGTTAAATTTTAAATTAAGGTGTGAATTTTATCATGTCGTGTAATTATTACTTTTAGTTCGTGTTTATGTGGGCCCAGCCAAAATAAACGGAAAAAAGAGACAAACACTGTTAAAGTTTATGTGTATAAATTTTTATTCCTTTCTGTTAATTAATATCTTTTTTAATTAAATAAGTATTAATAAAAAATAAATGATAAAAATTCAGATTCACGAACTTTAAATGTTTAGTAATTTTTCTGAAAAGAATGGGCGCACAGGCCCATGAGTAAAAGACATTAGAGAAAATTTTCGTGCAATTAGAACTATAATGAGAGAAAGTGACAGTGACAAGATTTAAGTATCCAAATTTTTTGTGAAAATCAAGTGTATTGTAGAAAAAAAAAAAAAAAAAAAGGTTTAGAAATGTGGGTAAACTTACAAGATAAACGGCATATCAGTGTCTGAAAAATGACGGATCTTTATGACACTTTAGTTAGGAGGCATTCTTGTAGATTTTTCTTAACAATTAAGAGACTGAAAATCCTTTTGTCATAGTTTTGGAATATTTTAAATTGACATATCAATTTATAATAAATTGAACGGTACGATTAGCTATGATAAGTATCCTACTTATTAGATGAAAATGAGTAAGATGATAGAATAACAATATTCTGTGTGTACGCAAAAAGACGTCAAAATTTGATGCATGTTTAAGTTTGTAGCATTATCAATAGAAAAATGTTATTAAACCCAACTGGATTGAGTCAGGTTCTCTCACAAAAAATTGGACCCAAAAGTTACGAGAACCAAATTCTACCTATCAGGTTGAACAAAAGTACTCTCCATAATCTTTATTGCTACAAGGAAGATGGTTAGCGTCATTATTTTTGTCACTCACTTTATTCATTATTTAACACGTGAATGTCATTAATATAATATATTATTATTTAAATAAAAAATGAGATAGTAAAATCCACATGTCAAACAGCATATGCAAAGAATGATAAAAAAATGACAGAAAAAATGACGCTAACATTTCTCTTGCTACAAGTACTATTGCCTGATTTGCAAAAACCAAAACAGAATTCAGCTTGCAGGTCAAAGATCAGGCCCCAAATTTGGTTTTACAACTAAAACCTAATTGATACAATATACAGACTCTACAGCGCAAAAAAGCCACCAAATAAAAAAAAAAAAAATTACAGCCTCTAACACAGAGAAACTTAGTCGTGGTTAATAAAAACATATGAAGTTCAGTTTTCTCTTTTCACATGCTAAACATTATAGTCATTTTAGCATGTATTGGAATTGAAAGCGCGAATTCCATTACACATTTTCTTCATTTGTAACCGAACTTAAGATATAAAGGTGATATGTGTGAGAGAATTAGCTAAATGAATCAAGTCATACATGTAACCAAAATCTAAACTAAAATTGACCATAGTTAGCCATTTCCTCTCCAAATACTCACTACCATCCCGTTTCTAAAACCATATCGTTCAATTCAATGGAGCCAAGCTTAGCACTAAACCCCCAAAGAGGAACAAGATCTCCGTGCATTTCTTACTTCAATTTGCATGATTAGAAAAGCGTTCATCGTTCCAAAATGTTAAAACTCTATATGGACCATGGAACTCTTCAACTGCGCAACTACAAGAAATTCACGGACACTAGACGGTCATCAGACCTTCTCCAGTTGGGAATGAATCTAGCGGTTACGAAAGACACTCATTTTGGAAACCTTGTCTTGTAATGATCAAGAGCAACATACTCGACTGACACAATCCGGTCATCAAACAGTCGTCCATGCAAACAGTGCGCTGCCGTACAAGCGGCTTCTGTTCTTCCAAACTCCACTAACACACAACCAACCTCAAATATGCTTCCAAGATCGAACTGTTCCTTACTATCATCCATTACCTTGTCATTCGATTCTGTTTCCATAAAACCGTCAAATTCTTCAACAGTTCCTTGTTTCTTACTATCAGTGTCCCCTCGAGTTGAGTTATCTTCACCTGTTATTTTCTTTTCCATGCCATGTGTGTCAGTTGGAGTAGCACTACCAACCTTGTCATCAAGCTGCTCTGACACTTCTCTTGGGCTGTTCAACTGGGTGGGAAGTTCTTCCGGAATAATATTAGGTTCATTCTCATCACTAGTAAGCTGGCCCGTTTGACATGATTTGTCCTCTGCAATAATATTATCTAGTTGTCTATTATCAGTGCCACTATCTTTTGGTACTTCGTTTTCCTTAAGTTCTTGATCGTTCTTCACAAACTCTAACGCAGCAATTCCACTAGGCTCTCCATTTGTACATCCTCCAAAGTTTTCTGTTTTTGCATTATTACCCTCACACCCCAAGTTTGGTCCAAACTCCCCAGTTTGTGCCCTGTTGTTGAGTTCACATATTCCCGAGCTGGTAATCTGGCTATTACTTTGCTTGACTACATTAACAGATTTGACATTGCCAAACCTGCTTAATCATATAGAGTTAACTGTCATTTCAATTTCACTAGGGAAAAAAGTTAAGAATAAATTAGACGGGAATTTTCCAGCACCTTACACACTCCAATCGAACATCTTCAATAACTTCTTCAACTTCTGGTTCGGATAGGGAAGAGAAACCCACCAAGTTGAACTAATTCACATTCAAAAGAAATATTGCAGAAGTATATGTTAGTAAGAGCATTTTTACTCGCTTATCATCATTCATTTTTCTCACAGTTTTATCCTTGGCTTTGCACATTATCAGTTATTTCAATTAATAGAGTGTATTAATTAATAGATAGACAGAAAGATACAACACAAACATAAATTGTATACACAACCAAAACCATGGATAACATACCATATTTTTAAGCTTTAGGACTTGCGTAGGCTGTTTGAGAAGTGGCTTTGCATGCTCTGGAATCTTATACAATGATGACTCCGCAGAATTTCCCTAGCAAATCATTTTTTTTTCGGGGGTTAAGTAAAAAGAGTAAACGTAAAAACATAAAATATTAGATTACAAATAGTTAATTGTTTTCAACAACCATCTTAAAATTTACTAGAAGGAATGAAGTGATGGTAGTACCAAAGATTCTGCACCCCGGATCGCCTGAATAACAGTTAGTACTTTCCCTCCCAATTTCATGCCATTGAGACCCGCGCAAGCTTTGGGAGCAATAGATTGATCTACATACTGAAAAGGTATGTAGTCCAGTGAGAACTTAAGTTTATGGGATACAAAGTAAATTGGGAATCTATGCGATACAATAAATCTATATAATTTATATAAACTATATATATATAACAACATAACAACTTTAGATTCAGCTAAATGAAATATCCAAAAATATATAACAAATTGGTCTAAGACGACACACCATTCCACTTGTACCATTTGATATTCTTTTGAGGATCCCAAATTACCATGAGTATATTGTTCATCAAGTAAACGCTTGCATAAAAAAAAAAACGTTAAAAAAAATTAAAAAAAAAAAAAAAAAAAAAAAAAAAAAAAGAGCAAAAAAAAGGAGAGAGATCTGTGACAATGCTTTATCGTACCTCCAGAAAAGCACATGGATCATTCAGCTCATCATTGACCTCAAAGTGGTAGGCCTTCAGAGGTCCAAAGGCACTAACAATCTCCATGAGCTAGAAAAGAAGCATAAAGGATCGTGTCACAATATAGATACATGACCAAAGTGAAATATGAAAAGAAAAGATGAATTCCATTTAAAGAATGGGAAGGGAATGCATAACAAATGAACCGTATTTACCATCTTTGATGAAAGAGCCTTTGAAATTCCACCAATAAAGATCTGCAGAAAGAAGGCATTAAAAAATGATAGAAAAGTCAGAATATAAACCACAACAAACATATGTTCTAACATTGATAGAGAATCAAACATACAAAATAAAATTTCATCCAACATTGACATGCAAAAACAAAAAAACATAACTAACAGGAAGGATCATTATGTGTCGCCGGACCAAGACGATTAAAGAAATAGAGAGAGAAAGGGATATAGAAGAAGAGAATAATTGAGAGAAGTAGAAGAAGAGGGAGAAAATATCTGTATTCAATTAATCATCAAAGTTTAAAGTGAAAATACAAGTATCATCTCTATTTATACTCCTAAAACCTACTAATAAGATAAACACAACCAAATATTCAAATACCTTCGATAAATCCTAGACAATCCTAATAGATAAACACAACATAATTCAAATATTCTAATTATTCCTATATTTATCTTGTTTCCCATCATTATGCTAATCAATGCCAAGACGATTAAACAAATAGAGAGAGAAAGGGATATAGAAGAAGAGAAGAATTGAGAGAAGTAGAAGAAGGGGGAGAGAAGAGAGAAACAAGAGGGAGAAAATATCTGTATTCAATTAATCATCAAAGTTTAAAGTGAAAATACAAGTATCATCTCTATTTATACTCCTAAAACCTACTAATAAGATAAACACAACCAAATATTCAAATACCTTCGATAAATCCTAGACGATCCTAATAGATAAACACAACATAATTCAAATATTCTAATTATTCCTATATTTATCTTGTTTCCCATCATTATGCTAATCAATGCCAAATGTATAACAGTGTAAACAAGACAATGATATATCATCACTAGGTTATGTCAATAAAGAAGACCGCCTCGAAATCTTAGGGAAAAGATTTAGCTGAGAGTTAAAGCTCATGTATAGGCAACACTCTGTTGATGTTGACTTAGAGTTCAGTTCTACCGATGTCATCTCATCTTATGCTATCATGTCTTATAAATACGAATATTGCTGAACTCGTTTACCTTGTTGGGCGAATCCTTCACGACATCACTAATTGTATCAACCGCATCCGTTGATTTCTCCAGGTCACCAGTCTGCATGAAAATAGCAACTGTCTGAAAACCTGCTACATGAATGGTAACCACAACATACCTCAGAAAACCGAAAGCAGCACAGTAAAGTACTAGTTCAGCCACACACACACACACAGATAGGAAAGCGACAAAAAATCTTGTAAAACTAAGCCTGCTAGTTTTACTTGTTTCTCTTTGTAAAACTAGATAATCATACAGAACTATGCATATATGAAATTTCTGAAACAACAAGCTGCATAACTGGATATGCAATCAGGCTATCTACAAAAATTCCAAGTCATCCCATCTATAACTAATCTTTTATTATTATTATTATTATTATTTTGATAGAACACGGGATCGAACCTGCAACCTCCCCCCAAACACCATCCCACCCGAACCCCCTAGTGCCACTAGACCAAGCGGCTTTTAATTTCGATTCACATGTGAACCATCGTATTCTAAACAATGCCCTTTAAAGCAGACAGAGTAGACAACTATAAGTTCCTACTCTAATAAGTTATCGTGTAGTCTATTTCAGGATATGGATCCCTGAGTTCAACTCCTGTTCCCAGTAGGATTGTCCCAAATACTCAAATGCTACTGCATAAGTATACGAATAAAATCAAAACAGTTTAACACAGTTTGAAGCAGAAAAACGAATAGTTGTTTAGCAAATCTGATTTTTCTGCAGGCGCTAAACAAGTTTTGGCTTAAGGTCGGGACTGGTCATGGTAAATGTAGTCTGAAGCGTCAGTTGGGTTGGTTTTCATTTTTTAACATTCCAAAGCTTCGGTTTTTTCTCAGATTCTACTGTCTTCTTTTCATGCCTTTTCTCACAGAGACAGATCAATGCAACTGTTGAATTGTCTTCACTGCCCCTTTAGTGAATAGCAACCTTCACCTAGCTGCTAACACTAGGTACTACAACACACCTCAGCATTACTATGATTGTGGGTACAAAAAATAGAACGTTCATTAACTAAAGGGGAAAAAAAATATCTAAAACAGGCAAATTCAGTATAGCTATGATCATCAAAGACATACATTTTTATTGACTAAGAAAATAAAAGAAGGACAAGGATTCTAATGAGATGAAAATACGTAGAGGCAACAATGTTAAATAAGTGATACAGAAGCAGGAAACCAGGCAAAGTCCACCTCTAACTTCTAAAGAGAAGAACTTCAACTTCAAAGATCACAATGTCAAAGATTATATCAACAAAATAAACAAAACAAGCAATAGGTCATATTTAAAGCAGTTATGAGAATGGAATGAAAGTTTAATGCTTACTGCCACTTCAACAAAGTCCTTAGGGCGTCTAATTTTCAGAACAGAACCAGAAATGGAACTCCCATTAAAAGAAAGAGCTGCTGAAGCATCTTCCGGTGTAAGAAACTCGACAAGAGCTTGGCTCTTCTCTTTGTTTATCTGCAGTCATAACTCATAAGATAGGTAAGGAATTCATAATACCACATGAATTCACGCGAATAAAGAGGCAAAATGGACACTCGCATAAATTTTGTACACTTACAATACAGCTGATGCATGGTTGAGTTCCTTGGATATGATTAACTCTTGACGACAAGAAAAGATCATTAAACCATTCCACCAAAGCTTTCTCGGAGGTTGAAGAAGGAATATTCTCCACATAAAGCCTCCTCATAGGCCGTGTAGCTTGTGTTAGTTGGACGGTGTCAATGGAGGCAAAGCTTCTAGTTGATACTGCAATGGAAGGAACTGCAGAAGGCAACTGTGGAAAAGTTGAAGCAATAGGAGCAGCACTAGCCAACTCTTGCACACCCGTGGACTCAATATTGTTTGATGACTGAAAATTAGACGGAACTGAAGCAGATAATACGTTGTCAGTTCCTGCAGGTGGGACATCCCACTTGGCAATTTTCTTCTCTGATGAATGATCGGGTGGAGGAGGAGTCTTAGCAGCAGCCTCAGTAATTCGCTTCCTCGGTGAATAGCCACCGAGCGCACTAGGGGACTCATCGCGTCGGCGACTTGAGCCATTACTTGATAATCTGTTCCTATCAGCATGATGTGGTTTTCGAGACTTATCTTTATGAGAATGTGAAGCAACCTCTCTATATGTCATCCTATCATAAGATGCGGTTTTATGATCCTTTAATGAGGGTGATTTGGACCTTCTACTTCTACGATCATGATCTCTACTCCTAGAACGTTCCGTTTTCGGCCTCGGTTCTTCAAAACGATATTGCGATGGTTCCTTCCTCTTGTTTCTCGCTGAATTGTCTGTTTCATGATGCCTTCCTGTATCGAGTTTCTTTGCAGGATTCCTGTCTTTTATTTTCTCATCATCTCCATTAATGTATTTTCTCTTGCTTTCTCTTTCAGATTTTCCTCTACTTGATTTTGTATGTCTCTCCTTTCCTCTTGAGTCCCTTGAGTGCCTCTTTCCAGCTTCCTTTTGAATATTATCAGTTGAACGCTTATCGTTTTCTCTCCTATCATGCATTTTTTTGTCATTCTTGCCTCCCTTAATTTCATTCCTTGTTTCATTGTTTGGTCTACTAAATACAACCTCCACTTTGCTTTCCAACCTACGAGTTCCTCTCTCTTTCCTTTTCGCACGACTTTCTTCAGATTTATCACTTACTGAAGTCTTCTTTTCTTCTTTTCTGAAACTTCCCCTTTTTTCCTCCTCTACCACATGCCTCTCAGCAACAGGCAAAGAATTTGTATAGTGTCTGTAAACCCTTTCGGATCCCAAGCAATGAGCCACACTCTTAACAACATTCTCACTCGACACAATTTGTTCTTCGACAACTTTCTCTTTGACATCCTCAGAAAAGCTCTTCCCTTTCCTCCTAAGCATAATCTCTTCGAAGCTGAAAGGCCTCGTTCGAGCTGCACTTCCTTCATCGTTATTATGCAGGGAGGGCCTCCTGCTCTTCTCATTGTTTTCTTTCTGCCGGTGCGACGTGCTCATCTCGCTAAATTTTAACACCGAAAAAAACTTAACACAGTAACCAACAAAGATAAACCAGTATGCATCTCGATATATGCATTGACTACCACTCGAAAAAATTATCACTGCATCAAAGGAAAAAGTAGCATTTTATTATGAATGGAAATTCAACAAGTAGCAGGTACAAAAAATAATAAATAAATAGAATGCCTTAAAGATTAAAAAAAAAATTGAAATCAAATTACAGACCCAAAAAGACTATGAAGAGTTTTCTGACTTCAAATGTGTGTTTCTGCATTGTGTAACATTATTATGTCAGAGAAAATATCTATATTCCGTGCATATTAAAAGGAAATTGAATATATATATATATATATATATATATTCAAAAACCCAGATTAAATTTACATAACTATACATCATATTTTCAGCAAATAAATAAATAAAATCACCTCAATTCTTGCTTCCAAATAACACAATTCAAGAAATCAATAAGATAAGCTGATCCGACACTTCACAAGAAATTCCTGTCTATGGGCATAAACACAAAACTACTCGCTCACTTTAACTTTCTGCTAGTTTGAGAAATGAGAAGTATAAAAACATCTTTAAAAAAAAAAAAAAAAGGAAAACCCATGTTTCAGAAACGAAAGATAAGAACACAACATCCAAATATCCAAACAAAAGTTCAACAATTTATCGTCAATTTAATCATTTCGTCCAATATTCGCAGGAACAGAAGCAGACCATAAAACCCAGTTAAACCCATAAAAAAAAAAAAAAAAAAAAAAGTTGTACCTTTGGCGAAAAAAGTGATGTGAGAGCGAAGAGAGATGAAAAGATTAAGCAGAGAAATCGGAGGGGTTGATGGTGCAGAAAATTTTAATGGAAGCGACACAAAAGAGAAGGGATTTGGGAAAACCTAAATGAAGAGACATTTTGTCCAGTTATATCCTACACTCTCTCTTGGTTTGCCTTGGCCCTCCCTCCATTAGGATTTATGATTTTTTTTTTTTTTTTTGGAAGGGATTATTATTTATGATTTATGATTTATTTACTTTTGATTAATATTGATTTCCCTATCATATTTTGAAACCTAGTAGAACTAGATAGTTTGCGGATGGGCATGAGCTGTTTTTATTTTTAGTAATCTTTTCCTTCTTTTTTTCTCAAAAAATAAAAAAATAAAGAATTTGGGGCGACCTAAACACAAACAAAAATTTTAATTGAAAGTCACGCCCGAAGAATTAAATGAAGTTAATTAAGATAATTAAAATTTATTAGTATACCTAATCTGATTTAATTAATTGGTTATTAATTAATAAATGTTTCTGACGAGTAAATTTAAATAATTCTAAAGTATTTAAATATTCTCAGTATTTACATTTTTACCCAGAAGTGTGTATGAGCATATTTCTAAACTGTCATTTTAAATATTAGACACCTGTCCATTTTCCTTTTCTTTTTCCTTTTTCCTTCCTTTTCCTTTTCTTTCCTTGTCCTTCCTTGCACTCTCTCTCTCTCTTTCCC